TGTTTCGGCTTCGCTTATGCAATTTTTTCATATTTTTAGAGTGATTCTATCTGTCCTACCAGGCGTTACAATTTTAGCCCTAAAGCAAAACTCGTCTCTTTGATGCTTCGACCAAGTTGGCCGAATGATGGCTTGGTTCGTGTATACCTTTCGTTGAGTCGATTTGACACTTTATCAAATCTATCATTTAAACATTTCACATTTTAGGCACTTACCAATCTGCCGTCAGTGACTTCCAGTCGTGGCGCCAACTTGTGCTGGCCGCCAAGCCTCTTCTTCTACAGCTCAACTCTGGATTGGTGTCTTTGGTGGAGCGAAAGTGTTCGCCGTCACACTCGACTGCAGACAATCCTGTCAGGGTGCTCAGCTCTCGAGCAGAGGCTCGAGTTGTGAATATGGCCAGAAAAGTGGGAGGGCAAGAGGACAAAGCGGAGGATTTCTCGGAAGTCGGTGACCAGTTGTACGGCCAGCCGACGAGTGACGAGGCGACTGACAACATTCGACAGCGACACGACTTTCTTGGGCGCTGTGTTCAACATTGGCTGGCGGAACTGGCAAAAGTGGAAAGACAAAATGAGCCGATCGACCAAAAGCATAAGACAACTGAGCACAACAGTGCCAGAAGTCATAGCATCTTCTCTTCAGAGAATGGGGAACACGAAAAAGCCGATGCAGTCTCAAGTGGCTGCAGTGACGTAACTAAACTGACGGCTTCCGGCAGCTCTACATGCAAACATGAGCTGTTGGCGAAGCAGGTAGAATTCAGTCTGTGGCAACATGAAATTGTTTTTGTATATTTAAAGATTTTTTTGGTTTTTAATACGGAACAGCACTGATGTGCGGACATGCTTTGTAAGAAGTAAATTATTTCCTATTTAATGTGAGTAGTTTTGGAAAATATCATTAATTCTTACATAAATATTAAGTCAGCCTAGCTACCTTGGGCTGGGGCAAAGACTGAAGGAGGAGTTTTTCCTACAATCATATGAGTAGAATTCACACTGACATTGACATTCCCACTCCTGATGCTCACTAACGATGAAGAATTTCGTAGCCTTCAGCTCATCTGGGAATCATCTCCGGCATTAACTATTTAATATGACATGTATTTACCCAATTTCGTTTAAGGGGATGAAGGACTGGTAGTAGAATTTTCCCACAATTATGTGAGTAGTTCTCATCCAAGTGGGATTGTCGATGAAGCAAACGTATTTTTTTCTATAAAAATCTACAACTTTATTTTATTTTTCGCATTTAAGTATTGTTTCGAGACTACCAGTAAATCAGTAGTAGGAGATGTATTCACCCAATTTGCTTTAAGGTGATGAAGGTCTGGTAGTAAAATTTTCCCACAATTATGTGAGTAGAGCTGACGTTTTCATTCAATTTCACATTACCTTTATTTCCCAAAAGTAGTTCTCATTCAGGTGGGATTGTTGATGAAGCAAACGTATTTTTTTCTATAAAAATCCACAACTTTATTTTATTTTTCGCATTTAAGTATTGTTTCGAGACTACCAGTAAATCAGTAGTATGAGATGTATTCACGCTTTAAGGTGATGAAGGACTGGTAGTAGAATATTCCCACAATGATATGAGTAGAACTGACGTTTTCATTCAATTTCACATTATCTTGCTTTCCCAAAAGTTGATCTTATCCAGGTGGGATTGTCGATGAAACAAAAGTATTTTTGCTATAAAGATTGTCTACGTTATTTTATTTTTCGCATTTATGTATTGTTTCGAGAATACCAGTAAATAAGTAGTATAGGATGTATTCATCCAATTTCGTTTAAAGGGATGAAGTACTCGTAGTAGAATTTTCCGAAAATGCTGTGAGTAGAGCTGACGTTTCCATTCATTTTCACATGGTCTTTCTTTCCCAAAGCAAGCGTATATTTGCTATAAAAATCGACTACATTACTTATTTTTCGTATCTAAGTAGAGTTTCGAGACTACTAGTAAATCAGTAATGTCATATGTATTGCACTGAAAACAAATTTCTTGTAAACGGTGTGTGCACCTTTACTAGTCCAACTAATAAAATGAGAAAACAATTTGGTTTAACCATTCTTAATTTATAGTAATTGTGTTTAAATGTCTGGTTTCAGCGTTTTCGCACAAACTTATTTACTATGTTGACCAATTGAGAAGATTTTATAGGTCTAATAAATTCATCCACTTAATTCGTTTGGAAGTTATTTTGAATGTTAGTCAAATTCCCTCTTTTGTTATTAAAAATGACTATCTCCCATTTTTTATTTGCCAGTTCGTCTACATTATCATTGCAACCTACGTGTGTTGACTATGCTCAGAGCATGATAGTTTATTGCATTAACTTTCTATTTAATATTGCAATATTTCGCTCTCCCATAGATTTTTGGCGTTTTGATTATTTTTGCCTCAATTTTTTATTAACAGCTCAATGAAGAATTGGCTCAGAGTAAAGAAATCTTTTCGAGAACACAACAAGAGTGGAAAAGGAAGGAGGATTATCTCAAAGAACTTGTAAGTTCCAGTAATATACTATTTCAATATGACCTTTATTCATTAATACGCCTGAATACTTTTATTATTTCTACTGACGCATTTTAAATAGATTTTCCCCAGCAATTGTCATGCCGAGATGAAATATTTTTTAACCAGACTCAATTAAGCATATGACGGTATTATAAGATCCTTTATCTTTAGCCATTACCTAAATTAAGCCGATCTACGAGCGTCTTTGATGGAGACAGCTCGATTGCTCACTGACTCAGAACACATGTTTAGTAACTTAAAATCAGCATGGCTTTTAATAACCTACATTAAATATTCGAATGTATGAAAGCCAAGATGGTGTGGCATTTGTATGGTATCAATCTGCTTTCGTTGTTTGATCTTGTCTTCGCAGGAAGACCTAATGGAACGCACCGAGTCTGCAGTCCATTGTATGCATGATCATTTCCAGAATCGGACCGTGGATGTGGTACATTCAGAGACCTTTCGCCGCCACCGTTAGTGAGCATTACCATTCTCAGCACCACACTTCAACTCGCCAGTGAGACAAGTGAAGCCGATCCTTTGACTAATTATCTACTTAAAAAATTAGTAAATCGCTTCTCCTATATCCTCTAACCACCCCATCACCATTCCAATTTCTTATTTATATGTATGAGGAGGATCCTACGGGGCAAGAGAGAGACTCTGATATGACCTATGAGAAGAGGATTGTGGGATGAGAGTGTGAGAAAGTCAGCGTGGGGTTTGAGAGTTTTCATGAAATCTGCTGAAAAAGGTCACACCATGCCATATTTAAATAAACAATTTAACAATTTTGATAGTGAAGGGGTGATCCGAGTATATAGAATTGGTGAATAGCCCAGGGCGGAAGGAGAGATATCATAATTGATTAGCATACAATTGGTCAAGGGATCAGCTTCACCTGTCTTTTTGACGAGTTTTAGTGTGGTGCTAAGACTGGCGAAACGTCTGGAAATGTACCACGTCCGCAGTTCGACTCTGCAAATTATCATGCACACTGTGAACTTCGGACGAGGTGTGTTCCGAAATGTCTTCCCATCAATATGACCAATTTGCGAAATATTTGAAGTTTACTTAATTACAAATGTTATTAAATAACATCCATGAGCGAATCACATCTGTTCCAACCAAAGATGCTCGATTTAATAGAAACATATTAAAATCCCAAATTATACTGTCCTAAAAGCCGTGAAATCACACATTCATTAAATAAGATATCCACTATAATCTCGGATGTATGATGTCAATCTGGACTACATTGGTTAACACGGCTTTTTCAATAGTCTGACTACCTTAAAAATCTTAGTTTGGCCTTAAAAATATTTACTCATCAAATACATTCTCCTTGCTCCTCCTTAGGCTCTGCTGTTCCTATTTCTACTCGCTACATTTTTTTGAATTTCTAAACTTCCCTTTTTAAACCATAAATTACTTGTATCCCTAGTGGGTACGGCTCTGATACAATGTCAAAATTCAAGTTTAGCTCCCGATATAAATTAATAAAGTATAAAATAATGATAAAATGAATTAACTATCAATAGATAATCAAACTTAGTAATACTGGCTTTTGTTTTACAACGTACATTCTAAATCGATCTGTGTTTTATTAGTATTTGCTTATATCTCCTTATGACCGTCTAGGAAACTAAGGTGGCCGAGTTTTCTTGTCAACTGCAAACAGCTCAGGAGCGTTGTTCCGAGCTAGAAAGCCAATTAGTTGAATCCATGCGGCGGAAGAATTTTCAGCAACAAATCAACGCAGAAACGGAAAAGAGATTGGTCAACAGGACGCAGGTAGGCTTATATGCTTAAATATGCCTCGTTCGATTCTTAAAAAGAGATAGTGCTATATATAAATAATTATGTCATCTACAAGATTTTTTATTTAATTATACTCATCTCAAGATATTTAACCATATTTTTTTGTCTGGCAGACGTTAAACACATTGATGCATAAAAAATCGTGCCTCATATGAACTCAGTTGAAGAAAATCTCAGAATCTTATGAGTGTATAAGGTATGTTGGTGATTGTGTGATGGAAAAAGGAGATTTCCTGGTAGCTTTCGATGCATTGTCTATGTAGGATATCATTCCGTAGATCAGCATTCTAAAAGATTGTACCATTAGAACCGTCAATTTGGCCATATACAATACATATTCTACTTTTAATGACAAGATGTATAGGCAGACACGGAGCTTGGCTATGTGATCTTGTTTAGCCCTTGTTTTAGTTAATAAATATGTGGCCCACATACAAGTTGGTATCTTAGAGTGGGCAGCCCTAGGTCAAAAGCTATTAGTTTGGTGTATAGAGGATCAGTTTGAGGCTTGGCAACACGGCAAAGATAGTTTAGGTGAAATCTTTGAGCCAATAAGTAGAATAGATGCGAAAATTGAGTTTATCATGGAGTGAGAAATGAAAAATAAACTGTATTTTTGGATGTATTAGTGAGCAAGTAAGGTGATAAGTCAGGTGGAGACGCATATAGGAAACACATATGGGCGGGCTTTCCTTTAAATTGCTTCTACAAAAATACAATTATAGTTAAATTAGGAATTATGAAATGAATGATACTAATGAATCTAAATGTAGCAGACGTTAACCACATGGACCAGGAGAGGGATAGCTTGAGGCATAGATTGCTTAAAAAAAATGAATTATGATAAGGAGCTAATTGCAACTCAATTGTGAGTAGGAAGATGAGGAGAAATTGGTATGTGGGGT